TAATGTGACAAAATATGGAAAAGTTCAAGGGGTATGAATACTTTTGCAAACCACTGTATATATATATATATATATATAATATAAACTGTTGTGTGTACATGCCTTTGACTAAATATGCGCTACAACGCGCTCATCTTTTATTCAGAATCAGCTTCTTATCACTGGCAACRACGCGGCKTTCCTCATTTCCCTCATTCCCGCAGCTTCACGGTGCTTWAAACAGTCGGATGCTGAGCTTCTACAGAGCTCATTAGTGATGCAAAGACTGCAGCGAAACGAGACGAGTCATTGGATAAATGCAGGCTTTGTCCCGCCCATCGGACGCTGAGCGTCTCTGGAGGTCTATGGAGGAGGGCACTGGCTCAGACGCTCAGGTTGTGCATGATGATTGGATGATCTGTCGGAGGCTGAATCCCTTTTTGATTGACAGCGAAATGAGCGAATCAGAGATCTTTGGGTGTAAACRTTCCGTGAGAGCAGTTTTTACTTTCGTTTCTGTTCTGAGTTGAATCGGAGACTTTATTAATCCTTTTAGCAGCATTTTCTTTGTTAAAAACGACTAGCRACAAATCAAGTTTTTATTTCTGGTGGGTTTTATTGTATCTGCTTGTGTTTGGAGACTGTTGGCTTCCTTTTACTAATTGGCGTTATACAATTGATGGGGAATGTTTTTTTTTTCAGTGTCCAWCAATGACTTTCAATGTGAATTGAAATGAATTGAACTTAATTTATTGAAAATCAGAGAATGCATCTGATAAAGGTCTTATCTCAGCTGCCATTTTGTGATTATTCTGTTTTATGTTTTTGCTTTAAAAAATGACCACAGTTGGAACTGAAAACGTTTGCTCAACCAAAATTCWGCAGTTAATAAAATTGGAACAGAGGATTTAAGTACAAATATGTGCAGACGATGATAATCGAGAGCAAGGGGCTTTGTGGTGCTTCTGTTTTTTTGATTGAGTCACAAACTCTTGTTTCTTGAATTTTACACATTCAAAACATTAATCAGAGTTCCCAAAGGCAGCGGCACGGTGGCTCACTTGGTAGAGCTGATRCYTCTCAGCAAGAAAGTCACCAGATCAAATTCCGGCCTGGGGTCCTTTCTGGGTAAAGTTTGCATGTTCCCTCTGTGCATGCATGTGTTTTCTCCGGGTACTCTGGCTTCCTCCCACAGACCAAAAACATGACTGTTAGGTGGTAATTCTAAAGTTTTTCTCTATCTGTGGTCCTGTCATGGACCTGTGACCTGTCCAGGGTGTACTCCACTCCCCATAAAGCAACTGCTGGATATGGGCACCAGTGACCTTGAAAGGAAGAAGTGTGTAAAGATAATGGTTGGATGGAGTTAAGGGTGTTTCGAACCAATCTCAATTTTATTATGGTTGTCTTCAACCTGTCTCAAAATCACTTTATATGTAATTTGACCTGCCTCAAGTCCATTATGAGCGCTCACACAGAACGTTTTATTTGTGTTGTGTTTTGTATTTATGTTTATTGTGGAAGTAGAACTTCTTCTGTGTTTTTAGGGGAAATTTACGACTCTGTGCATTTACTTTTACTTAAGTACTTCTGTTCTGAATAAAAGCCTGGTGCATGAAAACACTCGTCACGAATGGAGTGAAAATCTTGGTGTAGAGTAAAATGTGAATGTTGGTGGGGGYTGCTTGTGAGTGTGTGTCACTTTCTGTGTGTATGGGTGGGGGTCTCTGTGTGTTTGTGGTGGCGGGGGTGATTTAAATATCTAAAAGTTCARGGAAATGTGAGTATTCTTTAGTTGCTGAGGCYATCAGAAAATTGTTTGTGTTAAATGGGGTGGAGGCAGGATTTGCTGYTTATTTCTGAAAACAAGCTTTAATTTTTTATTGTAATAA